GCTATAATTTAATTTGTCCCAGATCTCCAACATCAGTCATTTTTTCCCTCCCTAAACAAATTGCCTTTAAGCTTTTCCCCTTTATTTTGCTTTACTGGTGTTATAGGTTGGGGCTCAGTACAAGAACCAAATGTTTGTAGGGCAATGTATTCCTTTTTGGAGCATAATCTGAAGCCTGTGGGCAGATCTCCTCGCTCCTCTGAGTCCAATTATACAGCGTGTTGTGTGAGCAGACGGGTGGTTGTGCAGATTTAGCCCCAGATCGAGTCGGAACCAGCCACCTCCTCCCAACCCGCTCTGACACCCTCTGACTCTCCCAGAAACTCAGCTTCAGAAACACCTGGACACACACACACACACACACACACACACACACACACACACACACACACACACACACACACACACACACACACACACACACACACACACACCAGGCAGAGGATTCTGCTCAGATTTAACGTGTGCCGCTGCCGCTTTGTTTATACTCTCAGATGTCTAATTAACAAAACTGAATTTATTTAATCATGTGGCTGAAGCCGGAAAATTATTTTCGCTGCAGTTGTGTTTTTGTATTTGTTGCTTCCACTGCTTGGCCAACAGTCTTATCTCTGCACAAACAAAACAAATATTCTTAATTCAGTGTTTTCTACTTCAGATGAGATTTGTCAGCTAAAGCTATCGACTAACCCTGCAGCTTATTTTAAAGCTCATAAATCCACCATGCAATGTTTAGTTTCATGCTACAAGACAACACATCCACTATCTGTGAATATCTATTATTGAAATGTCCAAACGACAACAGAACTGGACAGCAAATACTATGAACTACATCAAAAATATCAGGATAAATGTATTTATCGGTTATAAAAAAAATGAAAACACCCTGGTTCATGAAATTGGCAAATCAACCAATCATATAGACTCAAGTGGTTCTGAATCCATGTTAAAGTCTGAGGAGTTTGTACAGCCTGGTTGGCAGAAAGCAGCAGAAGCTCCAATAAAAACATTTCCCAGCTAAATGTGTTGAATAGAATCAACTGGTGCCGATTCTGTCTGCTGAGAAGAGAACATCAATGTTTCCACACCAGACAGTCCGATAGATTTGGTTCGATTGGGGGCTGAAGTTGCAACATTTGTTACGTTTTCAGCTGCTGTGGTTCGCTTTCACGCTGCACTGTGTCAAACCAGCCAACCTAATTAAAAACTTGTTCCCTCCCGTCACCTGTGGTGGTGCTGTAATAAGAACCACTGACAGAAACGACACAAAAACCTCTGAAGAAGACACTGAGCATAACTTCTTTATAAAATGTAAATAAATATGGACTGGCATCAGATTTTAGCAGTTGGAGAATTTTGATTGTGACTTTGGTAAAAGACCACCAGCCATTTTTCACGCTAGCGCTAAACTTGCATGTTTGTTTTGGTTGTATTTACCCAGAATGCCCTGCCCTGTAGTCCTGCTTTCGTAGCGGTCTCTGGTATGATCGGTATTCAAACATCACCAGAGTTCACTTCAACCAAACTGAGACTGAGACTGAGGTTTGTAGGAGGTCCTGAGTTCAGTTTTCGATCACACGTTCACTCCTCCCTAAGCAAACCAAATTTTCCATGCAAACAAACTAGAGTTCAGTTAAAGCGAACCAATCAGGACTGGTGTGAAATCTCCCAAAGATTCACCAAAACTGGAAACCAGATTGGAAAAATGTTGCCGGTCGGATGGGTCTCAATTTTATCTGCAAGATTCCGATGCTAGGTTAAGACTTTGATATAAACTGCAGGAAACATGAATCCATCTTGCCTCGTCTTAATGGTATACAGGGGAGAGAGACATTTTCTAGGCACACTTTGGACCCTTTATTACCATGTCCATCCCTTTATGGCTACAGTGTACCATGCACCACGCATCAAATCATCTCAAACTGGTTTCTTTAGCCCCTTCTACATGTTGGTGACTTAAACTGGTTCTTCCACAGTCAGCACTAGTCGGATTCGTCTGCATTTGCAGTGACTTGATTGGCAGAGGAGTCAATTTGTTGATTGGCCCTGTGGGTTTACATCACTGGATGAGCGAAGGTGGTACTTTCAACTCCTTGAACAGTGTCACTGTTCACTCCACGACAGAACTGTAGTAGCTGGCGAGATGGCGAAACTTTTTATCAGTTGTGGTGGAAAAGCGCATACAGCATCACCTGGATGGGGCAAACCGCAACAACCAACCAAACATATCGAGACATTTCGTAGAAACTGGTCACCCAAAGGTACACACGAAAAATTACATCATCGGACGTCAACCACAGTTCCTGCGCACTCACCTGCCCACGTTCCCACATTCCCATATTCGTAGAGGATCACACTGCCAATGGACACACAGCCAGCCTGGCTAAAACCCAAACAGGCCTTAAGCGCCTAGAGAGAGAGTAGACAATGGAGGAAAGGCTTTAAACACAACAGTGAGTTCCCTGTAGTCCAATGATCACCAGATCTCAGTCCAACAGAACCATTTAGAGACGTGGTGGAAGACAGTCAGCAGATCTGCAGGAGTCTGCTGTGGGATTTGGTGTCCAGATTAACTGCTTTCAGCTCTCCAAGCCAATAACAATACAGTTCCTAATATTTTCTGCTTTCCAACACTGAAGCAACACTTTTAACGCCTAGTAGTCATTTAGTGTTATATTGGCAGCAGATTATTAATAGAGAGATAATAAAAATATCCTTAAAGTTAATTTTTTCCAAAAAGGTAACCAAATAAATGTAACTTCCCAAATCTGATTAGATAGAGATCTAAAACTGACACAATAAGAATAATAGTTGTTACAGTCAAAAAACACAATTGCAACAAAGTTTGATAAAAATCAGTCTTAAGTGTTACTGTAATATTTGAGATATTTAAGTTATTTTGTGGATTTCAATGGTTCTATGTTTTAACACCCTTTAAACTCTGCTATATCATTTCAATCTGGAAAGACTCAGACGAAGAAAAAGGAGCAATTAAAAGATTTAATGACAGCAATGAATAACAGTTCTTTGGCGCTTGGGCCCGGCAGCTGATCTGAGCTGAGATTTGATGTGAACTCGATGAACATGCCGATAACCGATAAGGGATGCTCCCCCCCGGGGCCCGACACTGGTGGTGGAGGTCTGGAAAGGGTGCCATCCTGGAGAGCCGAAGGATGAGGGTGGAGAAGGGGAGGTGGTGGGTGGAACGCAGCTGGGAAGCGGCTGATGGCTTCGGTGTGGATCCTTTATGCAGAGCTTGATTGATGATTGGACGAGCCGGGTGAGGTCCAGAGCTGAGGTCAGAGATGAGCACGACGCCGATGGATGAACGGAGGGGATGGAGTCTTCCAGGTTGAATTTTCAGCTACATTATTATATTAAGATTTTCTGGCAAATTATTCCACATCTTGCAGGTTATTTCACTTGTAAAATGACATTTTTCTCATGTTAAAATTGAAATAATCTTCCAGTGGGACTAGAATCTTGTTGTCAATATAAAATAAGGAATTATTTACTCAAAGCAAGCTCCTGTATCCTGCTGAAAATTAGCTTGTAAGTTAGTTTTGTCTGCTAAGATATTTGAACTAAAAAACAGACTAACAATACTTGATTTTGTGTTTTTGCAGTGTAGCTACACTGTAAGAACTGTTTTGCACTTCTTGTTAGCAAACCTTCTGGTTTCCTTCCAAGAATGTTCTTTTAGCCGTCCCCCAGTGGGAGACGGACTCTTGGCAGAAGCAGGACTCACAGGAGAGATTACGTATCAAGTCTGGCTTGGAAATGCCTCGAAGCCCCCCGCTGTTCTGCAGATCTCTGTTCAGGATGTAACTCCCACACTCTGGTGCTCCATAGGTGGTGGCAGAAAATTTTCCACAAAAATGATCAAAAACTGCCAAAAACATTGGGTTTAAAGCAGGGGTCCCCAAACTTTTTCCTGTGAGGGCCACATAACTTTTCCTTTCTCTGGTGGGGGGCTGTAGTCAGTTTGTAACAGAAAAAGTGTGACGTTTGCAGGAGTGCCTAAATGTAAAAATATATAGTTTTCTAAAAAGTACAATCAAATAACATTCTCTGGGTTCTTCACAGAAAAAAATCCAGTAAGGATTATAGTCCGTATTTTCCGAACTATCAGCCGCACCGGACTATAAACCACAACCCCAAAGTTTTTTTTTTTTAATAAACCAGTAAACATACACATATAAACCGCAGATATCTCTGCCGCTCCAGGTTTTCCACAACTACGCAGCAGCAGAGGAGGACGGAGACCCAAACTTTGAGTCACAACAGGTCAATTGAATATCACATTTATTACAGCTGAAAAATAAAAAGTTGCCAAGTTTAGATTTAACAGAACTTATTACGTAGTTTCCGAACGGTAACAGTAAAAGTGCTGATCCTTCGTGTCTGCTACTAGCATGTGCTAAATCAGTGGTCCAACCTTTTTATTACCGCGGACCGGTCAAGACTTGGACATTTTGTTGCGGCCCGGGGGATAGGGGGATGGGGGGGATAAGGATAAGGCTTCTGCATGTTGGTGTTCCCACTAAATCCTGAATAAACCCAATTTGGTTGTCTTGGCCCTTTTATCGCAGCCTGTGGGGTTTTCCCTGACTGGGAACAAGAATACAACCTGCTGAATGTGACAGGTAGCCAATCAGAAAGCGCGGTGACGTCAGAACAGAGGGGAATCCCAAACAGCTGACATATCACGCAACTGAGAGTCCGGTGGATATCAGAGATGATATGTGGAAATGTTTATTATTATATGTAAAGGTCATTATTATGTTTATTCAGTTAAAAATGTTAACTATGAAAAAACATATTCCCCTCCATAGTGCAGCAAATAGAGCGGCTGCTCCCGCTGTCTTTCATCCACCGCCTTTTCTTTTTGTTTCTTTTATCTCTTAAAATGACTCCACAAACTGTCACTATTGCTTCTACATCGTGTTAGGTTATTCTAAATTCCCGTATGCGATGTTGGGGGTTTTACTGGATTAACCTCTGGAATCGCGATGTTCGTGACCGGAATCGGTTCGTGTTGCTCCTGCCTTGGACACACAAACCTGTTGTACTTTTATCAGCTCTGTGGTCACAGAGGTTTGGAGAATCGGCCGACAATCCTTAAGTCTTGCCGTCTAAACCAGACTTAAGACTCACAAGCTCTACTCATCTCCTTTCGACCACTGCCCAAACGCTCTCTGAC